ACACAGCGCGTTCTGCATGCTGTCTCCCTTCTCTGTTCCTTTTGGCAGTGATAGGTAATCTCAGCTGATCAGTTACCCACTTAGCAGGAGCCCTGGGGGCCTGTTTTAACACCTCCACTCCTGGAACTCCTTTGGACTGTCAATGATGCCTCACATACATCTCCTACACTCCAATACCATTCTCATCCTTAACCAGGTCCTCACACAGTCATGTGGATTACACAAGAGCCCTCGTAATTAGTCTCCTTGCTTCCTTTTTCACTCTGCCAAATGAGATTTACTGCTATTCAAGAGGACTTTCCAAAACCCAAACCAGATGATCATTCCCTTGCTCACCCCTCTCCTGTGGCTTCCCATTACTCCCAGGAAACAACCGAACCCAGATCCTTTATCATTACCCACGAGGGCCCTTGCTGTAAGACCTCTGCCTGGCTCTGCAGCTTCATTACTTCTGCTTCTCATGTCCTCTCTGGAATCCAGCGGTGCAGCCTACTTCCCAGGGGCCCCTTGGTGTCGTGGCCCTCCGTAGACATACAAAAGTGTAGAAGTCTTCGTCCCTGTCTCTTAGAGTTGTACTCCTGCTTCAAAAGTAAATTCCAGCCACTTCCTTTTGGAAGCCCTCCTTTACCAGGTCTGGGTTAGCTGGCCCTCCTCTGTACTCCCATGATACCTTTGTTTTCCTGTCTTCTCCACTAGCATCTGATATTCGGAAGGGAATATTCTTACTCATCTTCATACATTCCTATTGAGAAAGGACTGACGAGATGAATGGATGGTGGTTGGATGGAAAGGTGGGTAGATGGATGATTGAAGGGATAGATGAATGGACAAATTCAACAAAAAAAGTGGCAAAATCTCGAATCAGATCTTACACCCAGGTACCTCCAGAAAGGTGATCAGCAGTACTTGCAGTGCTTCATGGTTCAGGCTGAAAAGCAGTATGACCTTGCAACTCACAGCCTGTGGGCTTTTGACATTGATGCTGCCCATTGTTCTAGCAGGTAAAGCTGAAAAAGAGTGCTGATCTCCGAGGGACAGGGACGGGGGATGGCCAGGAGGGCTTTATCTTATCACTGACCTGGCCTATGGTTGGTGTCAATCCCCTCAGGTCTGCCCTCACATGAGTCCCATTTGGTCCTTTTCATCCAGGCCTGATGGATCTGTTTTCAGCTTGAACCACAGCAGGAGAGTTTCACCTCTGGATACAGGGTGACAGAGCAGTGGATGACATGAGGGATGGAGGGCATCATGGCCACAGCCCCTGTCTGCAGCCCAGTGCTTCCCTGTTCCTCTACCAGGAGAACGACACATTGTGTACTATTCATTTTCCTGCTCAGGAGCTGCTCTACAGCAGCCACGTGGGAAATGCACTTTATGCAGCTTGGAGCCTCCATCAGCCCTTCAAGGAAGACCTTTCAGCTGGCTCAGTTTGCTAAGTAAACGTGAATAAACCCTGGAATGAACTGGAAATGAAATGGAGCATCAGACTCCTTATGATAGGGAGAACCAGCATGAGGCCCGCCCAAGCTGAAGCGGAAAAACCCAGAGGCTCTGGGAGAACAAGCCGGGTCCAGCTGCCCTGGAAGCCTCATCAGGGTTTATGAAGCAGCAGGCAGAGCACAATTGGCTCAGTTTGGTTGTGTTTTTATTTTTGTCCAGCCACAAATACTGAAAAATGATTCCTTCCCTTCCTGGAGCTTTGGAGCCAAGCTGGTTTTATTTTTAGCTTCAACTCTGGTTTAGGGCTTTTAGCACACTAAACACCCTACCCACTGCAGGCCTCGGTGGGCTGAATTTTAGGATTTTTGCCTAGACTGAAGTGTTGGTCGTCTGAATATAACTGTCACCCGGCTCTGTGCAGCTGTGACAATAGAGGGTGGTTCCAGACAGACACGTAGAGACCCAATTCTGGCCTTAGGGACCTCCAAGAGAGTTTTTTTCAGGGAGGGAAATGTATTCAGGATGGATGGTTGTCTGAGCTGGGGCTGAGGAGGTGGTAACCCTGAATGAAAGGAAGGAAAGGGGGGAGGAGAAAGAAGAAAGGAAAAGAGGAAGGGAACTGTCAGTTATTACAAGGCTTTGAGAGGTTAGTGGTTCAGAACTTGGGCGCTGGAGGCAGACTGCCTGGGTTCAGATGCTGACCCTACCACTTCCTAACACTGTGGCCTTGTGGAACGTACTCATCCTCTCCAGGCATCAGCGTCCTCATCTATGAGATGTGGGTAGTAATGACGCCCGCTTCCAAGCTCTCCTGCCTGTGATTGTGCCCATCCAGCATGTAGCATAGCATCTGATGTGCAGTTAGGACTGCATCATTTTTATTATTATCTCCATGCTCTTATTGCAGTGCTAGACACTTGGGCACACACTATGTCATTAAGAATTTCTGTAACCCAATGTATAGGGTTATTTTGAAGATGGAACACTGAGGTTCAGCAGGCCAGGTAACTACCCAAAAGTCCCACAGGGAGATCAAGATCTAGTTAGACCAGAACCCAGCTTTGGCCAAAGTCATATCACCGCACCTTCTCTGGGATCAGTGCTCCCATATGACATCAAAGGACATATCACAGACTTATGGGAGCTGCTCTGAAGAGCAACTAGATTACCCATCACTCTTCTCTCCCCTGGGCTCCTCCTGTATTTCCATTTTAGTGACAGGAACATGAACAGTGGATACTGGGAGTGATCACTGGTCACAGGGCACCTGGGTGGCTCAGTTGGTTAAGCGTCTGACTTCGGCTCAGGTCATGATCTCACAGTTTGTGAATTCAAGCCTTGCGTTAGGCCCGGTGCTGACAGCTCAGAGCCTGGAGCTTGCTTCAGATTCTGTGTCTCCCTCTCTCTGTCCCTCCCCTGCTTGTGCTCTGTCTCTCTCTACCAAAAATAAATAAACATTGGGGCGCCTGGGTGGCTTAGTTAAATGTCCATCTTTGGCTCAGGTCATGATCTCGTGATTCGTGAGTTCAAGCCCCACGTTGGGCTCTGTACTGTCAGCTCAGAGCCTGGAGCCTACTTTGGATTGTGTGTCTCCTTCTCTCTCTGAACACCCCCCCACCCACCTCTCGTGCTCTGTTTTTCTCTCTCTCTCTCTCTCTCTCTCAAAAATAAATAAACATTTAAAAATTTAAAAAAAAAAAAAAAGCAAACGCTGGTCACACTCATGGAAACAGAAAGTAGAGTGCCGGCTATCAGGGACTGGGGTGGGGAGTTGTTCAGTGGTGATAGTGTTTCAGTTTTGTGAGATGAAAAAGTTCTGGAGATCTGCACAACATTATGAATATACTTAACACCACTGAACTGTACACTTGAAAATGGTTAAGATGGAAAATCTCATGTTTTTGTTTTTTACCACAATTAATAAAACATTACAGAAGAGCACTAGTGTGGGAGTCATGCTGCTTTTGGGGTGTCGCTGGGAACTTGAGCTTATCCGTCCAACTTCTCAGCCTCTTGTCTGGTCTCCTTGCAGTCAGGGGGCCCACAAACAGCATCACTGGACCACACCTGCCCACACATACCATGAGCCCCTTCAGGGCTAAGCAACACACTTCTGACAGGAGCCTTATTCTGGGGTCTTCAAAGCTCCTCTCTCACATGCTTTGCCCTTTCTGACCTCCTGCTTGTCCCCTGTCTCTTAGAAATTTTTGGCCATCAACCTGGGACAAAAGGGGGAAAGTAGCAAAATCCCCCCAGGGAAGCATGTCTGCTTGGCGTGGTGGAGAGAGTGTGGGCTTTGGGCAGAAGCAGGGAAGAAGTTCATCTTATCTTTTCTTCAACTTGCTTAACTCTAAGATAGGATAGTATGGTTGTCCCAGGTAACGAAATGGGCGGCTCACTCCAAGCAAAAATTTCAACCAGGCTATAAACTGTTCTTTTGCTGCAGGAGATTCTGAGGATTCTGGGGACAGGTTTGGAGACACTGGTTTGGGCACTCACTGATGAGGCTGTGTAAAGATGCTAGGACAGAGAGTCATGGGAGTGGGCAGGGATGAGGGTCTCCCTCTTGGCCTCCTACTCCCCAGAGAACAGCCTTCTTGGAGGCCACAGTAAGGGCTTGGTGTCCCTTGAAAACTCATGTGGCCTTCTTCACTGTTGGCATTAGCATTGACCATTCTCAGGAGAGCATGAGATTGGCTCTGTTGCTGCCATCCAATGTGGGGCATCCCTTCTGGGAGGACTTTACCTCCAGCCACATGGCTTGCCCAGACTGTGGTTTTTGACCCAAAGCTGACCGCTCCATTAGGCACAGCGGGGACAGTGCTCAGGGCCAACAATACTTTCAGAGGCCCATGAAAATGTTTTCATTTCTTTTAAAATTAGAAGGAAAAAAAAAAGCCTTTCAGGTCAAAGTGAATGTTATAATATATAATATTAATATATTTTTATACCAACATAGTTATAAAATGTGATATTAATTTTTTATATAGAGTTAGGGGCATGCAAAGGCAAAAGTGCCAAGGGCCCATGAAAGTTATAATACGGCCCCGCTCCAGGCTGGCAGGGATTCCATTTGGCCCCTCAACCCATGGCCTCTTCTGTTTCCATAGTAACTGCTATCTCCCTACTGCAACCACCACCACTATCTAGGATGAAATACTCTCTCTGGTATTTTATTTCTTTTTAGGGACCCATTTTGCATACCAGTTTCATCGCTTGGCAATTGCTACCTGGAGCACATGGCCGGAAAATTTCAAAAGCCTTGTCTGGAATCTGTGGGAAAGAATGGTGTGATCAATTAGTGATGTCTGTCCTAGGCTCTTGATGGGGAAGGGACAGCACACGTGCTGTGTTCTTGCCTTTGACTGACCTTTGCTTTGTATCTCCAACTTCACTGCAAGCCTTGCAAAACAGAATATGCCTTAACATGCTGTGCATCCCATGTTGAAATATCTAGAAAGTCTCTTAATACCTGTTGATTGATTGAAGTGAGTATCTGTGAATACTCTTAATCCATTTAATGTCTCCTGATACCCTTTCATTCTGTTCTTTATCTCTAGGCGCCTGAACAAGAATAAGCTCCAGGTCCTTCCGGAATTGCTTTTCCAGAGTACACCAAAGCTCACCAGACTGTAAGTAGAGCCGAATTATGTTCTCTACCTGGTGTCCTGCCTGGCTTTGGTGATGTGGATATTGTGGTTGCCTTTGTGAATGGAGCCTGGTACCATGCAGAGCTTGGTAGTTAGGCCATATGTATGGAGACTAGGAGCTGGGCTTCAATATGGCGTGCCCCTACACTCCCCTCCACACCCGACTTTTGCTCCCATTCTTCAGATATCAGTGGCTTAAGTGGCCAATGAGGGCTGGTGGCTTGTGGTAGTAGATCTCTTCTTTGCAAAGAAGGACACACTGCCATTTAACATGGTCTGACCTCACCTCAGGGAAATGCCCTGGGGATGGGATTTGAGGTAGGTTTACTCAAAGGAGACACCAGTGGTCTCAGAGGGCATTGTATTGGACTGAACACTTTAACCTCACCATCCTGCAGACCAGAACAACTCCAGCCCTTTGCCTGCTTCCTACCTCCGCCAGTCTGAGAACCCTGGGTCTGGAGATCTATGATTTTGTGGGAAAAGGAAGAAACATCTTAAATTTTGCTTTATCTTCTGGAATGGTCCAAGACATAATGCAGGGGGAAGATTGGAGATGTTTCTGTGCATTTATTCAGTATGAGAGTTTGGAGGTTCAAGGAACTTGAGATGCACGTCAGAATGGAGATTGCGGTTGGCATATTGTGGGCATTAAGCAAGTGTTAATTAATTGACAGTGAATGGCTCTATGATTCTGAGCCTATAAGTCATACTGGCAGTGACTCGTGTAGTTCATGGGGTGAACTGGGTTGGCCCAAGCCTTGATTTTCTGAATGGAGTGACAGTGTCTGGCTGCTTAGTAGCCAAGCAGTGAGATTTACAGCCTGGGTGGGAAGACTGTAACATTACTGGGGAGGCTCCAAACTTGTGGCCACCATTTACATTCCCAGTGGCTGTGTTTAATACCTATTTATGCAGTCAAACAATGCATGTAGGCTCCAGGATACATTGGGAAATACAAAACACATGTCAGTGTGTGTGCTTAAGAATGAGTTCTGAATTAGGAGTCTGTATCTATATCTATATCTGTGTGTGCATACACAGAAAGAGACTATATACATAAATGTATTTTAAAGGACACTTTGTTGGAACAGGAACCACAAGGGTTAGCTGGTGTTTAAGTGGTACAGCAGCGTTGTTCGCCTTCTCTAGGACACACCTGTACCTTGTCAAGGTCTTCTCGTGCTGTGTACTGCATTTCTCTAGCTCGGTCCACCTGGCTGACTTTGCTATCTGTGGGGAAGAGTATGCCCCCCTTTTCACCTTTCCACACTGAATCCATCTTGATGGGCATGAGGATGACTAAAGTGATGTTTAGCAGCCTGAGCGTCTAGCTGAGCTGGATAAACAATACTAAATGGGCATATGGGGAAACAACCTGGTTTTTAATTTCCTCTTCCTATGTAGTTCTTTCCTTACATGCTCACCTAATAGTTGTCTTTCCACCCAGCACCACATTGTGCCTTTTCAACCTGCTCCTAAATAATGCTGACTCTAAGCTCTTCATCTGGAATCTCAGCATCACATTCTAAGCAAACAGAAGGTGTCTGTGGGGCTGGGGCTGCTGGAAAGCTTTGAGCAGGTGGGGTCTGAGTGTTCCACTTGTTGCAGGGTGTCAAGCGGGCTGGTTCTTGCTCATGGAACATGGCCTCATAGCTGCTACCATCAGATGATGCCCATTTTGTGCGAGGCTGCTTTTGATGCAGGCAGAGGAGGAATTTCAGGCAGTGATAACAGGTCTCTGAGATGCTGGGGGCCAGGCCCAGGCAGGCAGCCTAGGGCATGGGAACCCCCAGGGTGGTATCCTGTCACTTTCTGAGAGAGGTTGGGGGAGTCATTTTCCCTTCTGTGCCTGAATATCCCCATCAGTATAAGGCTGACACTCCTCTTCCCTTTTATCTTCCTCGCCAAGTAGCTGTGAGTATCAGATGAGATCATAGTGTGTGTGCATTTGTTTTCTAGGGTTTACAGTGAGGGGTGAGTGTAATTACCAAGATAACTAGTGTTACTCCCGCACTTCCCATTTTCTCAGCTTTGCTCTCTGATCTCTTTCTTCCGGATGCACGAAGACACTGGCAGTTGCTATGGGCACTGAGGTGGATGACTCTGAGCTTTTGCTTCAAGCCAGAGAGCTGCAGCTGGGAAGGCAGGCACGACATTTGACTCAGTCTGTCATCTGTCCTGCTCCAGGTCCTAGCCAGGCACAGAAGTGGGCACACATAAGCACTCAGTGAATGGGTAGATGAATAAGTGAAGGATATAGGCCTAAGTATTATAAACAGTGCCCTTAGGGAGCTTTGGTTCTTTTATCCTTCACTCATTCATTCATTCCTTCATTTATTCAGTAAGCTCTTCCTCTGTGCTTGTTCCAACCTGGCCTCTGCTGGGTTTTCAGGTACAGACATGAAGGATGCCCACTTCTCTGTATGCCTCATCATGACACATTCTGAATGGCTGCCAAAAAGCTTAGAGCTAAATATAATTTTTTTTTTTATTTAAGCATCTATATTAACTCAGGTTTCGGCTATAATCAGCAATCTCTTTTTTCTCTCTGGGCTTGATCTTTGATTTTTCTTAATGGCCCTATTGTGTCTTTGTCTTATTTTGCAGGGTACAAATTAGAAATCAATAAATGTGCAATCATGGGTGTGTATACATATGTCACTAGCTCTGTAAAGGAGTGTTGCATCTCAATAGACACAGTGAACCATTTTCCAGGGAATGCTAAATGTGGGTACTGTGTGGCTGTCTACTCCGTAGCATGCCATGTGGGATAAGTAGCAATTCTGGACACGCCTTTTCCTTTCTTATTAGATCTGTAGACAAAAACTGCTTAATACTCACTATTTATCCAAAGAATACCTTTTGTTAAGGCTATGGATGTGTAATAAGATGTTTGGAGGAGTGATGGGAAAGGGAAATAATATTTGTTGGAAACCTGCTATTATAATAACACTACTAACCACTAGGTGACAGAAATGTGACTAAAATTAGTTTAATCCAAAGAGGAAAGATACTGGTTTATATGCCTGGAAAGTTCAGGGACAGTTATGGACAGCTTCAGGAACAACTGGATCCAGGGGCTTGGTGAAGTTATTGGGACTTCATGTCCCTCCTTACATCTTTTGTAGCAGTGCACGTGATGGTGAGCAAAAGCAGAAGACCCAGCGTACTAATCTGGCAATCCAGGTGGAGTCAACAGTCCTTCAGAAAAGAACCAGTGGTAGATTGCTTAGCTTGGTGACACGTCCATGTCTGAGCACATCATTATTGCCAGTGAGGTGGTGTCCTCTGACCAGTCAAGTTTTGGAAATGGGTTCATCCCACTTGTTTGGGGATAGAGTTTGCAGGGCTTGGGAATGGGTTTCCCAAAAGAAAGAAAAATTCTGTTATCCAAAGATGGGGGAAATGATGCCAAACTTGAAAACAACAGATGTTGGGGCGCCTGGGTGGCGCAGTCGGTTAAGCGTCCGACTTCAGCCAGGTCATGATCTCGCGGTCCGTGAGTTCGAGCCCCGTGTCAGGCTCTGGGCTGATGGCTCAGAGCCTGGAGCCTGTGTCCGATTCTGTGTCTCCCTCTCTCTCTGCCCCTCCCCCGTTCATGCTCTGTCTCTCTCTCTCTGCCCCCAAAATAAATAAACGTTGAAAAAAAAAAAGAAAGAAAACAACAGATGTCTACAAATTCATTGAGCAACGACTTTGGGCAGTCTGCTGTGCTTTAACTGAATGCGTTGGATCCTCAGAAACACTTCAAGGTAATAACAATTGCAAACCCATTGGCTGGCAGGTACTGTTCTGAGCACTTGAGGTATAATTCATTTGATACTCCTTACAGCCCTGTGGGGTGATACTATGACTAGCATTATTCTATAGATGTGAAACTGAGGCTTAAAGAAGTTAAAAACTTGCCTGATATCCTACAACTACTTAGTGACACAACCAGAGTTCACATTTGGGTAATCTGACTCTGGAGTCTGTGCCGTTTTTCTACTATAGGCAGCAACCTGCCTCATTCCTCCCATTTTATAGTAGAGGCAACTAAAACTCAGAGTTTAAATTACTTACTCATATAGCCCACATTTCTAAGAAGTAGCACTACCCTGGGGACTTTGCCTCAATGCTCAGACTTAACCTTTACACTAATCCTATAGAGAGAATCATTATCACATCTACTTCTGAGGCCGAGAGGGGTTATCTAACTTACCCCATTGCTGTATAACCAGGATACAATGGAACTGGGACTCAGATGTGTGTCTGTGTCACTGCAGAGTCCTTCGGTTTTCTACTATGCCAAGCTAGCTATTGTGGAGACCTAAAATGATGATAAAAAGGATTGATAATGGACCTGTCATATGTCCAAGTGCTTCTGTCAGGACTTGCTGACCACTCTACCCCCATCCACCCTCAGATCCAGCACCAGTAATTCATTGATCCATATGTATATTAATGGTGTATCTGTCCTCTTCCTGTTTTCAAGCACACAGAGTACTGGACAGAGAATCCTAGAGCTTGGGAGTGCCCTAAAGATTAGGTAACATCACTGTGGTCTGTAAAGGGCCAACAAGGTCTCTGCCATGCCTTGGGCACTCAATAAAATAAATATTAGCTTCCCCCAATCCTGACATAGATCAGAAGGTTCTCGAGTGTTGGGATTATGTTTCTGCTCCTCCTAAGTTCCCTACCACTCCTGACTCAGAGCTGGGCATAGGAGGTGGCAGTAGAGTGGAGGGCTTAAGGGGCTGTGAGCTCGTGGACAAGTCATTTAACTTCCCCGGGTCTCAGGTTCATCATCAGTACAATAAACAAGAGAACCTACTTCTCTACATTGTTATGAGGATAGATGGAAGTGGCCCATGGGCAGCCTTCAGCATTGACTGTAGCACATAGCAAGTGCTCAATGAAAGATGTCTGTGGTCGACTTTGCTGGCCGACTGAGGTGAGCAGTGCATATGCTATGGCTCTGGCATCAGTGATGTCAACAC